TCGGCCGGAGCCTTGCGTATTTCCTCGATGTGAGTATTCTCCTGCGGAGCTGGGCCTTCGCATCTGACCTGCAGGTCCTGACGACAGCTCGCTGGCTAAAAGACTTCGCCAGGGACTGCCCTTCAGCCTCGTCGTTGATGAGCATTCGCGTTCCCCAGGCGCCGTGCGGTTCTTGCGGCCCTTCGGTTTCAATGCTAACGCACTGGCAGCATTCGTGATCCTGCCCAAGGCGGCGTAAGGCTATTTGTTGTTGCCTTTCCGGCGGCAGGTGCGTTATCTTCTGGTTGAAATCTCGTCCATCGTTGACCGTTCTTCCTTCACGCTGCGGCCTGATTCATCTGCTTCCGACCCGCGTCCCGTCGTTGGGCCCAAACGCCTACATTCTCTACGCTGACGGATGTTGGTTGAAACACCCCGGCGCGTCGAACGTCTCGGAATGTGGCCTTCCTTGCCATTCAATGTGAGGTTGAATAAATCTAGCCTCGCCGATGCTCAACTCAGCGTTCCGCCGAGTCCCGGGTTATATCTTCCCTCGTTGCAGTGCCCTCTCACGGTCCGCAGAAATTCCGCCTGTCCTCGGGCACCCGCTCCCAGCGTTGTTGTCAACAACTTGTCCGGTCGCGTCACTGCGAGCCGCTTTTATATTTCTCCACTCACCGTCGTCCGAGTCCGGTTTCCTGCGTGCCAAAATCCCGCGGAGGTTACTTGCTCCGCCGTTCGTTGCACCACTACTTATTATGATCTAGGGTTACCGCGACTCGTGGCCCTTCCTCCCGACTTCTGTTTCGGATTGACTCACACAAGTATGATCACCGCGCTGCAATTCTGCTGTTTCAAATTTCAAACGGACTAGGTATCCCCGGCGCAACCGCCAAAGGTCGGACGGGCGCTAATCCGCACGCAGATTGTCTATCGAGGTCAGTAGCCCGCGCCGCCCAATTCACTTCGCTCTTCGCTCACTCTTCCGCTACTAATTTACCCGTTCTTTCAGACACCGGACGGACCGAATACCAAGTGGTTTGCGTTGGTGCGTCCCACATCAATACACCACTTTCGCCCGTTCGACCCGGGCCCGCTCCATATCGAAGTATTGCTGTAGCTTTTTCCTTCCCAAAGTGCTCCTTCGAGATCCGTGAATCATCCTCCCCCATCCTCAAGCTCTCCCAAACTGGGGCCGAATTGTCAGTATTTGTGGGACCGACCGCGAATTGGTGCACAGCTGCACTATGTAGTGTTTCACCTAGCTCGGTTTAGGCAGCCCTCGCCCGTTCGACTCGGGCTCGGTTCATAGCTCCTGACGAGAGTCGTACTTTTTCTTTTCTTCGGGCCAGCGCGACGACGCTGCGGGGAAAGTACTCATTATTTCGTGAGTGGTGACTTCGGTACCTCGGTCCCTGGCTCGCATACACTATTGACGAAATATTCGAAGGTCGACGGTTGATTCAATTCGCTCTCACTCAGAGCTTGGCGTCCTCAGGATAAGCAGGACCGAATACGAAAGGGGTTACGGTTCAAACTCCTCAAATTGTACCCATGGTCCGCCCGTTCGACGCGGGTTCAGTCCATGATTGCCAAGTGTTGGAGTTTTTTACTTCGTCTTAGCCCTAGTCGTGGGGGGCCTGGGCGGTGTACCTATTATGTATTCAAGGCCCCGGCAGGGGGTGAACGTTGCGCTGAACCTCGAGCCGTTGAGTTTTACCTCCTCACCCACGGATTGGGCAGAGGCCGGACGTTGTTCCCGCTGAACCTACAGCATCGATCAACTGTGCCCGTTCGACTCGGGACTGGGGAATATCTTAATGCGGCTGCATTTTTGCACGGTTTTTCGGGGGCATGTTGAAACTTGCTCGCACCACCACCGTTGATTCCGCTCCCGGCCGATTTGGTCAGCAAAAACCGTCCACTGTGCCATGCACCTTGCCCGAATTGAACGGGTTCTCTGCGCGAGGCAGGTGCTGGTTTCATTTCATCCTGTTGCTTGTCTGGTGTCTGGACCTTGGCGCAGCAGAATTAACTTCATGATCCACGGTTTTCAATTTATGCGCAAGCTGGGGTTGTGTTTCACGGCGCTGCTCACCACAACAATCTCCGTGTTGGCCTGCTGCTAAATGCCTCCCCCCCGTCCGCGGCAAGGAGGTGGAGTAGAATTTCTCGCCTTGCCGCCTTGTAGGTGTTTCACTGAGGAAGACGAGCTAACCGCTGTATCTACGTAGCCATATCAACTTATCAACGGCAGATACTGAGAAAAACTTGCGAAGCGCATCCATTCAAGACCTCATCTCGAGTCGAACGAGTGTCTCCTGTAACGTCGCGGAGAAGCCGTAGACGAGGGCGAATGCGCACCGCGCGCTTGAGGTCTTGACATCCTTTGGATTTCGTCGAAACCACATGCCCATCTGGAAAGAAAGAAAACAGGATAAGCAAGGCGCGATACTGACGATTAAATTAGAACCCCAATGGGTGTGCGTGAGTAGGCGGCGGCATTCGGTAGGAAACAAGATGTGCACCGCCCAAGCGGTGTTATGTGGTCGGTGAAGTACAGTGATCCAGGACCGTGGCTGGACGCCCGAGGGCCCAAATATCTCGGGGAATTACCGAAAGACGCGCGGACCATAGAGAAAGAACCAGGGCAGAAATCGCAGTGAGCGCATGTCCCTATAACCATGACCTCGGGGGTGAGATACGTACCCACTGGAAGCTCAGCACACGCTTTCAGTGGTAAGTGAGGTGTTTGCTGGGTGCTCGTTCGAATCGAGCTCGGGGGATGAAGGAGTACGGTACAAGTTTTTTGGAAGTCAGATATTGCGAACACGAGGGAAGTTTCACTGAGACTGCGTTGAGCTTTTGAACGTCGGACGACCAAGACTTACCAGGAAGGCGGGCTTGTATTTGTGAGACGGACTTGGGCCACGCTGTTGGAAGATCGCAGTGTAGCGACGTTTACTTGATCTCGGTTTCAAGTTGGACGAGGTTTTAGGTTCCGGAATTTCGGGCGTTGAATCCGAGTCGCGGGGGTTAGTGCTGCCAGGAATATCAGTAATGCCAAGAACGTAGAAGGCACGAGGGACGAGCGAAGGTCGAGGGAACTGAGGGGTACGGAGCTCGACAGTGTAAAGGGCATCGGTAATCGGAGGGGACGCGGTTGAATGTCGGAGGTAAGGTGAGTTGCTGGATAAAAGTAGTACGATGCGCACGTACCGTGAAATCCATAGCTGGCGAGCTCAGCGCAGCGCAGAATCAGTTGCGTATCCTGCGCCGCTGTCGTTGCCATCTAGCACGGTCGCCGGGATCAAGGGGGCGAGTGCGAAATGCACAGGAGTTGCTTTAGACTGCGCAGTAGATGCGAGGGCAAGCATACATGTCTGGAAAGGGCAACGATGTGCAGAGGGAAGTACCTACCCCATCCTCGGACCTGCGCTAGCAGCCCAGGAGCGGTGCAGACGAAAGATTGTGTGGCCCTGGGGAGGTGAGGATGGAGATGAGCGGTGTTGTTGTTCATACGACTCTACGAGGCCGCGACCGCGTCTACCCCGAGTCGAAGATATAGGGAAGAATATGGAGGGCGAGGGAATGGGTCTGTAATAGACGTTGGACTAAATGAGTGCGGCCATAGTAGACAATTTCATAACAGACGCACCTCGTAAATTATTCCACGCATCCGACGCTAGTGCACTTGACGCCAACCGCGAACCCCGTACGTATGGCACGCGGACGGTACGGCGAGCGCGGAAGGCTATATGGGGCCAGTGAGATACATTCGCGCCCAGCAAACGATGTGGCTCCAGGCAGCAAGAAGGAGGTGGGGCTTGTGATGACGTCCGAGTCATTGCTGGCTTGCATGGGGCGTACAGACTCCATAAGGCAGCTCATAGACACATATCAGCGTAGTTTCACAGAAGAAGGTCGAAGTAGTGGCGGAGTGAACGACGAGCACGAACGCGTCGGCGGCGACATGGTGGCGGGAAGCAAGAGATGATTGGCGGTGATTGATCTCGGATCAAGCCACCTAAGACCTTGACTCTCACCACCTAGCCACCGTCCTCCGTCCGTCCTCTTCCACCCACTTCAGTTCGACAAGGGTCTCTTCGCTGGTATTATCTTGCCTACGAAGACCAATCTACCTCCTCCCTCGCCGCCCGCAACTCTGGCGCGCCATCAGGCGCGCGCGACCTCTTCCTCGAATTTCTGTGCGTGCGCTTTCGCACCAAAGTGGCTCCGATGGCACGAAGGTTCAATGGTCTGCATCCGATTGGCGTTCATGTCATGCTGAGACCTAAGTAGGCCACCCTCCAACCCTCGAATGAGAATCGCAAGGGACGGATCCCCAAGTTCGTGCGCCACTGGCACCAAACGACCGTCCCACTCTCGGAAGGCTGGTCCTGCGACTGGGATTCTTGGTCCTACGCCCGCGAGCTCTTCGGCCCCGACTCCTCCGACTTTGCTCTGATTACAGATGATTCTCAAGTTCAACGGCCGGACACTGGACGTCCCGGTCAGCTCTATTGCTCCCCTGGCGTACGACGAAGTCCGCGTTCCAGTCGATGTTCGTCGGCGCGACGGCCGGGTGCTACTTTTCTTACGACGGCTACTATCTGAAGATGTGGGCGTAAAAGCCGGGGTTGTTCGCGGGGTATGATGATTTCCTCGCGCAACATGTGGTTAAGTATCCCAATTGGCCAACGTGCGGCGAGGGCGAGGTGCTTCCGTGGACGGAGGAGGACGACGGGCGGGACTCCGAGGAAACACGGAAGTGCTCGGCCAAGTAAGATCGGACGGCTGCAAAAACCGGAGACGCAGCACTGACTTGAGTTGGTGGTACCTGCTCTATTAGTACTCGGAGACGAGTGTCTCCCGCTTCACACACCGGTTCAGTTTATCGATTTCATGCCTGGTATCTGCGGCAATCCTCCTAAAATCTACTGACTCGAGAACGTCCAGCCTCAGCCCGGTGGATCATGCATGCAGCAAAGAGACAAAAAAGCCTGTTTCGCCGCGGAATATGTCTTCGAGTGGAGTCGAACCACCGGTCCTTCCAGGATCCAAGCCAGTAAACGCACCAGTTGAAGGAAGTGAGCAACCCTGCTCAACGAAGACGTTGGTCCTCGAGTCCAATTTTGAGGCAAGTGAAGTGTTCTCGAGCTTGGACTGCCTCGCACGGGTTTGAAGGATGATACCGAGTAACGAAGTCACGCACCTCCCGCTTATCGGCGAGCTGTAAGACCTCGTCGGCCACGGATCTGGGGGTAGAAGTTTTAGCGCGCGCCGCAGCTCAAAGCGAGAATGGTTGACTTTGGAGCGCTAGAGAAGTAGATAATCAACTACGGCGCGTACGAAAAGCGTAGACGGGGATGTGCTGATACTGGCTCGTAAACACGGAACGAATGGAACAAATCATCGAATTTTACGCACTGTTTGCGGGCGAGGAGAGCATTCAACGAGGACCGCGCCGGAAGTGGAGCCTGTGCCTCGCTTGTCTTGCCTGTGTTGAAGGTCAGCTGAGAATCGACGGCAGGACAAAATAGATAAGAAGGGCCCGATGTCATTGGACTCCACGCACCATTGAATATCGCGATGGGAGGAGGAGGTGGATTGATCGACATGTGCGGGAACTTCACGCAAAATGAGCGCGTTTACACCCTGATAATCTCAGAACGGCAGCACGGACGACGAATGAACCTAATCATAGACTTGTACGCACTCTGCGCGGGCGGGCACAGCGCATAACGAACACCGCGCCGGAGGTGAACCTTGTTCGTCTGTGTTGAAGGTCAGTTCGGAATCGAAGGACGAAATGACCCACTGACGGCACGCTGAACAAGTTCAGTCTATTGGCAACGCCGGCGTTTCGGGAGATCAAATAAGGATAGGGTGCTGCGTCGTGAGTCGGAAGAAGTATAGACTGGAGGACGAGCGACGTTAAACGGATGGTGGGAGGTCCGCCAGGATGGATGGGCGCACCAGAGACCATAAATATCGCGTCTTCTGTCCGATCGTGAGTAGAGAACGAGGGGGCAACTCGAACCGCGAATGCAAGCTCTCCGCATTTCCAGGCGCTTGGAGGCGCACGAATATGGGGGGAAGGTAGCTTGGGCGGGAAGGAGCGAGGCTGATGGAAATAGGATGAGTGCTGAGCGAACGCGAGGGAGGGAACGAAATATAGGCAAAGAGTGTTGCATGGTGAATGGATTCTACGCACAGTTAGCTCGCAGAATTGTGCTGGGTCGAGATCAACTGAACGACACACGCGAGCTCAACTAAAGGCGCGTGGAGAGACGCGCCTGGTGGCGTCTGGAACCAAACGTTTATCCGAGAAGGAGAGGAAGAAGTACCACGCACCGTGAGGAATCTGCGTTCGTCGTTCGTGAGGCGGTTGGAACGAGGTCACGGTGGGTGAGCTTGGATAGCAGCCCGCGGAGGTCGAACGAGGCGCGCGCGCGTGAGATTCCGAGACAGGGAATATATCTACCTGCGTGAATCGCGACGGACCAAAGGGATTGCGACGAGTATGGGTCCTTGAAGGGGGTTCGACCAGAAGATTGATTGAATTTGCGCACCGTTGAATGCACATCGAAACACACACGCGCATCTCGCTGGCGCTGCGGCATGCGCTACCTCCTCGACGCGTTGGAGTGCCACGGCACAATGAACGACGCAGACAGGCGCACGGCGCGCCCTCCCGAGTGGCAATTGGACGGGGGCACGTGGTCGAGAGTTTTCTGAGCGCTGTGAGCGTGGAAGATGATAGAAGGGTGGAAACACCCGCCGCGAAATACGTTCGAGGGGCGGTGAGCGCCCAATAGTCAGCAAGAAAAAAAGAGGCGAAGGATATAGTCCACGCACTCAAGTTCCATGAGCGGTACGCATCGCAAACCCGGTGCAAGGTATAACAAAGAGGCGGAAGCAGCGGCGGCGTGCTAACACGGAGGCGGGGTTCAGCTGCAAGGTTACAATGAATTAGTGTCCTGGAGCGACGCGAATGACAGTAAACGACGAAGGAGATGCGGTGGATAGTGAGAGAGGAACGGTGTATAGGGAGATGGCGTCGGGAATGGGGCGTAGGGGGAGCGAGGCGATGAAGAGCCATGTTCTGAGACAATATGCGCGACTGGTTGTGCGCGTGAGGGAAGTCTCTCCTAAACACGGAGCTCCGCAAGGGATAGATGGCAGGGAAACCGAAACTTGGGAGGTGATGTGCCGCAAGAAGGTGAATGATGGAGGAATGGGCTGTGGAAAGGGAAGAGATATCAAAGGAGCAGAACGCACGTTTGTAACCATCCCTCCGACTTCTATAGTGGGGCCGAGGCTCTCGGCGACACCCAGGCCCCGGCAAAACGCCCAGACCGTCGCAAGGCGGGATGTATGCGTGGAGAGCTGCGCGCTGGTCGAGCGGCTATGAAGCAGCGTCCCGTATTGCGATGGAGCGGATCAGCGGCGCGTGTAGAGGTGGTGCCGACGAATAACGCGTGCGTTAGAGAGGCGAATCCATCCCGCCTTGACGAAGGGAGTCGCCGGTCGAATTTGGTGGTGGTGGCAAGAGGTAAGAGAGTGGCGGTGTTTGATTGATGATCAATTCACCTTTTGCTTCCCACCACCATCCTCCACCCTTGCTTTTCGCGATTTCGCCCTCCTCCCGGGGAATCAAGCACCAGTTACGCGTCTTGGAAACCTCCTCAGGCAATCCACCACTCTGGACGTCCATCTGGGTCACATTGCAGAGCATGGATGCGTGGCGACTTGACGCGTCATTGGCGGCCCTCCGCGCGCCTGTTCTTCATGTTAGGGCGCGCCGCTGACTGGCGGTGTTGTATTCTGGGCTCTGGCGTAGGCAGATGCATCCTTTCCTCTTGGTGGCGTTTCTGTGCACGTGGGCATTTCTGCGACTTTCTGCCATCCAACTCGTCAAAATTTCCCGGCGCAGGAGTGAGGGCCTTCGCGCTGAATTACTGATGGATCCGGCGCTCGGTGTGTCGCAACTTTACCCTTATTCCTGTCGGCTCATTATAGCATCTGTTCACATCCCAATCTTCCCAGTTATTCTGCTTCCTCCTCGTCAAAGCCGATTCTATGCAACATCGACCACGAGCGTGCACCTCTGTCGGTTTGACTCGGACACGCGCGTCCTGCGGTAATTCATCCATACGGGCACAACAACACTGATTCAATTCCCCTCCAGAACGCCGACCTCACCAGACTGTCCGATTTTCAACAGCTGGCGCGCCCATCTGCTCCAACGACGGACGAAATCGCCGTCGTTGCTGCGATTCCACGCAGGACTTGTTGAGCGATACCGGAAGGAACCTTCTGCGATTGTGCGTTCACGTCCCCGCTGTCCTGTTGCTAATTTCTCCGCTTCTCGTCCACTCACCTCTGTATTTTCTAGGGTGGTACTCGTATTTTCTATGGCGGTACTCGTCTGCGCCGCCGCCGCCGTTCGAACATCTACAAATCGCAGCAAAATATCTCGGCGCTCGCGCAGTACACTAGTGGTTGGTGCGTTTCACCGATCTTATCCTGAATCGAGTCGTTTCTAACCCGGACTTGGTCCTGTTTCGTGTCCCCGCCCCCTCGAAATTGACGGAACCACGGTATGCGCTCTGTGCACATCTCCAAGTATCCCACTTCGACTCCCCTCGCGCCTAAATATGAAAGATAACTTTCCGGCCGTCGCTCATGGTCGCAGCAACGAGGTGTGTTGTGTATTTATTGGTCTCTGATCTAATCGATGCAAAGACTTGCGCCTCGCCGCTGGTGGTTCACTACGTTCGCGCCGTCGAGGCTGCAATCCTCGATGCTCCGCTCCCCCTTCTTTCCTACCAGGATTCGCTGCTGCGATTATTTGCTGGCAGGAACTCTCTAGCGGGCGGTTTCGGTTGTTCTCGCTGGACTTGAACTTCACCCGCACGTATTAATGGTAGCGCATCACCTCCTGTATATTCGCCACACAATCGTACTCCTGTTATCGCCCTTCCCACTGCTCGGCGCCTTTTCTCTTGCTCATACCGCGTCCGCCTGCAAGTCTCAAAATAATAGGTCAGTCGCCGGTGTCCAAATATTATTCCAAGCGGTCGATCAATCACCTCGAGGCGCAATGTACGCGCTATCACCACTCCTTTGTCTCTGACTCCCACCACGACGACGACTTCCTCTCCCGTACTCTCTCCCCTGCTGCTCGCTCCTCCTCGCACTTCTTGCGCGTCGCGTTCTGGGTACCTCTCGGCGTGTTTCTCTGGGTGCTTGGCCGGATATGCGACTTCCATGTACAACGACATCCTCCGCGTTTTTCTGGCGTCAAATGGCGTCTCCAAGAGCTTGGATGATGCGGATCACGGAAACCCTCTTGAGTTCTCCGCGTTCCCTGACACCGTTCTTCCGTTTCACGCGAGCTGGTTGTATATCTAGCGCGTCCTGGCGCGCGCCCTCATGCTGCGCATTCTCGACGCGTCTGTTGTCTTGCTGGCCTCCTATACTTGCGGGACTTCTGGGCACCTCTGGGCACCTCTGGGCGCGTTTTTCTCGGTCATTTGAACGGAATCCACGACTTCCGTGTCCAACAAGATCCTCCGCGTTGTGCTGGCGACAAATGAAGCATCCGTCTCTGAGATATTGGATGATGCAGACCACGGAGCTCTCTCGTTCGCCGACACTGGTATTCCTTTTCACGGGCGCTGATGTATCGATGTCGTGATCCCTGGCGCCGTCTGCATTCTCGACGCGTCTGGTATCTTTCTGGCGCGTTCTCTCAATTCCCCTGGTCACCTCGGCGCTCTGTAGGCTGCCTATCCCTAGGACACGATTGATGTAAACTGTTTGCTCTTCTGCGGCACGGCCTCGCGCCGCCGTTTCTCGTGTTGTTCACTCGCCTTGGTCCCGCGCCTCGCATCCACCTCCAACCTTCCGGGGGCTCGTTCTACTTCCCCCTCCAAACCTCCGCGCGTTCGTTGTCTTCCCCCGTCCTCGTGCCTGATATCACCGCGGCGCGTCAACAACTCGTTCATCTCTCTTGCACGACCTTGTCACCTGTGCCGGGAAGGTCTAATCGCCGTCCTCTTCTGGCTTCTCGCCCCCTTGATCTCCCATCCATTAAGTCCTTGCTC